ATTTTAGATGACACAATGAGAAATGTGCAATATTTGCAAAATAATCGTTACCCTCACACTCTGGTTAATAGGGTGAGGGAGATAACTCATGACCTCATGTCAATGTAGACATCAAATTGATCAAGGAATTATTTAGAAAACGATTCCTCAGAATTCATCATAATTTGATGGAAAGTAATAACGAATTATATCACTCGCTAGAACTAGATCGTGGTATATCAAATTCTTCAAACTTATGTCATAAGTGCATGCCACATTAACATTGGTGTAAGATGGGCCATAAACTGTGAATTTAATATTGCAGGTTGAGACAAAAAACATATTCTATAGCATTGTCATGACAACTGTCTTACATTTGTACAGTCATTTTGACTTGTGGAGAAGAAATAAAAACATGAGCTATATGTATGCCCACATGGAAGGTAAATGAAGCATACAGTTAAACTTCGCTTGAGCATCACACATCGGTAAAGTGTTGTGTTTCAGTCCGATTGTCGTGTATGTTTGACCGTAGTGTAACTCATATTGGTGTTCAATGCCTCTTGGTAAATGCAACAACCTTATACTATAGGTAGTCACTGCGGCTAATATTTCTCATTTATGTAACCGAATATCCAGTGCGTTCACCTCTGTTTCTAAGGTATATTGTAGACAATAAAACTATTTGCTGGTAAGACACGATAAGTCTGCACCGGTTAAACAACTTACTTTCGTCATGATCAAACTTTTGCAGATGGAACTTATGTATTGTTTTTAATTTTTGGGGCACTGGTTGGCTGCAGAGACATCTGAATTTGTTGTTTTAGTGAGATCAGGAGGAGTCGTGTTCAGTGAACATATTTCTTGTTATCGATAAATGTTATGCATGAAGTATGATTAGGGCGTATATTCATTATTTGGGGAAATAACTTTAATGGTGATTTTAAGTCATACATTTGGTCAAATTAAAGATTTAGCAAAAAAGAATAGAATAGCATATATCTATAACGATAATGTGCAATTTATTTTTATGCTGCATTTGTTTTAATGTTCAAAGGGTTATTAGTGCCAGAAGAATAAATTCCGTAGCAAATTGCAACTTAGATTTGTAATGAAGCAAAGTTTGTATTATAATCGCGGTAATTATGTCAACATCACAATGCCCTTGACAATCAAACACAGGTCATGTTTATATCAATACGAAGTAAACAAATATGTATATCGGACTTACTATCTACTCTGGACTTTAATTAGTTTGATTATTTACTAAACTTTGATATTAGTATAAATAAATGACACGTACCAGTACATATCTCCATGTCAAAAACTTGAACACCAATATCTGCATAACCAAACTCACTCAAATTATACAGCAATGTTGAACTTCACCTGGGGTAGAACAAATGTAGATTGCCCACAGAGAAAATACAGTCATGAACAAACTCTTTTCACGTATTCTCCTTAGATTAGTATGTTTTGCATACAAATTGTTCCCGAAAAACTTTGAAATTAAACTTATTATATACAACGATTTATGAAATCTTGCAAGAATTGTCAGGAAATAATGGCATATAAATACATGACAGAACGGGAAAAAATGCATTCACAAAACATAACACATTCCATTTTGCAAACTTTGAATACTTTTAGACACATTTAAGGCCTAAGGTTCAGGTGTTCTTTTCATTATATTCCTAGAGTGACATAAGTTTGATGTAAACATTTGAATTTGACCTACGTGTAATTTGCATTGAAAGTCAGGAATCGTGGTGATGTGAACAAAGGTCCGGAAACGTAATCATCGTCAAGATATACAGATAATGTAACGAGGAATTAGAACTTAATCTGTAGTGGAATATAAATGCAACAGAAAAAGAAAAACAACCGAGTCAGTTAGGTTCTGTTTGAATTTTTGATAAGGCACAAGCTTAATGGGTGCATTAGAAAGTTATGTAATTCACAAATTTTTGGCGTTGAATCATAAATCGTGGTGCCAGCAAAACGGATAAAGAAGCTTTGTCTTCCACAAGATATCTATAAAGCAGACTCCGATATACAATTTGTAAATACTTTATTAACTACTATATATACCTTGTTAACTACGATATATTATTTATAACTACTTTAACTGACGACATACTATATCTTCTATATCTCATTACATAATTAATTTTATGATATTGTGCTTATGTTATTTGAGGCTATTCATTTATAATGATAGATATTTCATTAAGCTAAGTTGGCAGCCATATCTTATACAGTCATTAAATAAATATTCGTTACTTTATTAACGTTTAAATTAAATTATCAAACTTCTACAATAATTTTACTGTTTTGGTTGTAAGTGCATTCCAAAGCTGGAAAACAATTAACTTATTCCATAAATAAGATATGGAATGGCAGGATCTTAAGAGATTTATATTACTACAAATTTTGGGTACGATTATGGAATTTATTAATGATTGATATATATATATATATATATATATATTTATATATATATATATATATATATATATATATATATATATATATATATATATATATATATATATATATATATATATGTATATATATATATATATATATATATATATATATATGTATATATATATATATATATATATATATATATATATATATATATATATATATATATATATATATATATATTTATATTTATAGGCATCATGCATACGTTTGTTTTTATAGAGGCGGTGACTTTTTAAAAGTATTTCTTGCTATCGCTAATAATTGCCACCTTACGATTGAATTTATGGACGAGTCATAAAACAGGTCCAACATCGATTTTGGACTATGAATCTACAATCGTTGTTGGAAGTATTAAAAAGATAACAAATGTTTTACTCCAAGTGACTCAAACCAGTATCTGATCCCAACCAGTGCCCCATTTCTCATGACCTAATAAGAAATTTACGAGTCTTTGCTCCTAAAATAAATAACAGAAAAGAATAAAAGGATACAAGCTTTGTAAAATTAAACAAATAACCTATTTCCCTTGAATAACAAATGAAAATTGAAAAGAAAGAACCTACGGAATTGCGAATTAAATACCAAATTAATCCATTGTGGGGAGACCGACACATGTTTTATTCCAGACAAGAAAATACTTATTGATAAACATAGACAAAATTAGGGCAAGGTCAGTACTTAATTTTGCAAGTTTATATACATTTATATTGTGTTGTTTAACTGTCCTTCATCGTTGTAGATTGTAATGATCATTTGTTGTTATTGGTGTTATTGTGTGTTCATCGCCATTTCAGAACACGAATTTCTATATATGGCTGCCAATATAACTGGAGGAGGAAGAAACTATGAAGACCAGGAGTAGAATCACCGCCCCACCGAAAGTTACTGCTTACTTTCTCACGTACACACATTGGCAGAGCCCGGGAATCGAACTCATGCAGACTGAGGTGAGAAGGTAGTGATCAGTAGTGTTGAACGCCCTGTCTCTTAATGATCGTTTGTAGATAACGCATTACACTGCCAATGTTTGTTAAGGACTCTGGGTTTTATTTTGGATTAATGATCGTGTGTAGGAGATACATATGCTATGTACTTGAATTTGAGTCTGAAAATCAGCCTTGATTATAAACTTAGATGTGGGGGGAGAAGTCTGGATAATTAATCTGTTTATAATTTAGAGTGATGTTCCGTTGGTATGTTTAGGTAGTGCGAAACAAATCAAGTTAGGATAAGTTACCATATAAGGGTGTATATAATCAAAAAGAAGAAATAACCATTATTCCTATTCACATGTATGTTCCTATCTTATTTTCAGTCGTTTTCAGGAGCATTTACTGTGTTTAGATATAATATGAGAGGAACAATTTGAATTATTTACTGGAATTAAAAGTATTCAAATGACTGTCTATAACACTACTTTTGGGATATTGTCAATTCATTCAAAGACATTATGGCTTATATCATTGTGATACAGCAAGATCATTGGTGCATCGACACATTCTGGTCTATTTCTACCGTAGCACTTTCTTGAAGACCTGACGTTCGTTTGAAATACTCTATACCTTTCGACTTGAACGTTTCGAATTATTTGGGATTTAATCACAATACATTAGGTTAGTCTTAATTTTTCATTTTGCAACGCAGAGAAATAAATTATTTATTAAAGTTTGCTCGTTGTGCATTTTCTGTTACTTAATGTATGACCACGGAGTCGTAACAATATAAATAGTTTAAGATAGCATATTTTTAAAGGGTATCTGATCAGATTGTTTTCTTTTGTCACCGAGATAAGGCAATGTTTCCCATAAATAGAATTTACTAACAAAGCAAGTATGTCATGCTGTGGAAAATATTTAAACTAACTAGATAACTAGATACTGATAGGTCACTCACCCATTCATATAGTATACCTTCCCATGACACAATATAGCATCTGTCTCGTTAATCACAGTATACACATACTTCGAATAGCATGACTGCTTTATGCTGGTGGCATAGTTCTTAACAGTGTTCCTGACTTGCTAAAGATTATAAACATTATCTATCTCATTTCAAAGGAATGTCTAACGTTAATAAATTTTGTTATAGTTATTTTAAAATTTGTTAGGACTGGGTTATCTTACCACTCATAAACGAAATGTGTCGTTACAAAAACATTATTTTCAAGCCGATGATCTTTACGTTCCTTCAATTGTTGGAAGGAATAAAATGAGACACCAACCAAATTGTATGCATCTTTGTAGTTAATAATACTAAAATCTGTATTTATTGCAAATATATACAAAAGCATTCCATATGGATTATACCGATAGCGTTATTTACATATTAAGTTAGTGATTGGTAGTATATAATGACGTCAATAGTCCTTTTATCGCACACATTTTGCCCTGCTGTGGGCGTATGTCATTGGATTAACAAAGGCATGATGCAATTCTGTGGCCTCTTGTTTCTGAATTCCATATACCTGCCCTTTACATCAAAGGTCTTGTAGAATATTTAATTACCAGAAATACCCATTCAGGTTTTTTGACCGCTCCGGTGGCCTAGTGGTTAGAGCGTCTGCCTCGGATGTGGGAGGTCGTGGGTTCCATACCCGGTCGAGTCATACCAAAGACTTACAAAATTGGTACTAACAGCTAACTCGCTTGGCGCTCAGCATTAAGAGGTTAGTGTTAGGAATAAATGAAGACTGAGATAAGTGTGTTAAAGTACACGATGTAGGCAGAATATTTCAACATCATATTAAGTTTTATTTCTCTGTCAGGGAGGTTTAATACTGACGCTAAACTTGAATCCTTACCAGTTGGATATAATGACGCGTGTATCCCTGTAGAGTTATTATCAAAGAAGAAAGAGTTGTTCCCCTTGACTAGTGTTATATTTCTTGCTTGCAGCCTTGTTTGTTTTTACATTGTTACCACCTCCATGTAAAACTTACATTCCAGTAGTTCCAATTCATGTGTTTTCGTTTGTTCACTGCAATTAGCAACCTTTGATAATTTGTACATAGCTAATAATCCGATATCCAAAATATAGATTGCATCTTTTATTCTAATGAAAACGAAAGCTTGATAGCTCTGATGTGCGTAGGTCCAGATGAATTTTCAATTATTGCAAATTCGCTATCATGAATTTCGCTGATTGGAATGATGCAAATTTTAACAACTTCCCACAGCAGATCGGATCTGCTCAAAGGTTTATTTCTGGGCACGGCTCTTTTTCCGATCACCTCTGCGTGAAAAAGAGTGCAAGGAACGGTTATTATGCACAAATTTAATGCAACCGCTCCGGTGGCCTAGTGGTTTGAGCGTCCGCCTCGGATACGGGAGGTGGTAGATTCGAACTCCAGCCGAGTCATACCAAAGACTTGCAAAAATGGTACTAACAGCTTCCTCGCTTGGCGCTCAGCATTGAGAGATTAGTGTTAGGACTGGTCAGACTGGTGTCAGGATAATGTGACTAGGTGGGACATCATTCTACATGTCTGCAGCATGATGCCCCAGTGCTAGACATCCCTATAAACTGCCGCACTGCAGACATCGTAGCGATATGACTGAAAAATTGTTAAAGCTACGTTAAAAATCATAATCACACACACACACACACACACACACACACACACAAATTTAATGCTTTTTCCATCTGCCTAATTTACAAAACACTACAAGCTAAAATACATGTGTGAGGAATAAAATGTCGATGCTTTGAATATCTTTATTAAAACAGAACATAAGAATATTATTTACTCGACTTAAGAAGTCTACTACAGTTCTTATTAAAATAAATTTATGCACCCCAACCCCAAATTTATACCTCCACGTTTGAAGGTCATTTGTGAAATCAAGTGATTCCCATTGTGCAGACACTAACTCATTTCCAAGTCTGTAATTATAAAATACGTGTTGTACCAAAGATATTAGTGATATTCAAAATAGTTACCATCTAAGCCGTTTTGTAGATATTCTACTTGCTCTGACATCAAACCACATGTCTACTACTATTGGTGGCTAGCTTTACTTCTGAGCCAAATATTGGTATTTCATAGTCTACATACTGGGAAGTAACTGTGGGAGGTGTACATGGCTCACATCAATTTCAGGAACAACGCAAACCCGAAACACCTAGTTTACAAATATATCCATATCTTTAATAATTAAACAATATTATCTTAAAAATTTCGCATCATGGCCTTCAGTTAAGAAATTTCAAAAGGGCCATTTTACGAAACTATCCCTTGCCACGTATACTCTTGTATGCTTTGAAATGCCTAACTACTGGGCATGCATCAGTCTCTCTATTTTCTACGTCCATGACATATTAAAATGTAAATTATGTAACTGATCAATCAATCAGCTCAGCTTATGTTTAAATGCAAATATATTTTCTAAAACATTCACTTTATAGATTCATACGGTCGCTATGGATACATCATGCAAACGTATATACTTACATGATTTTATTTTTATTTGGAACTATTAAATTAAACTTAGGTTTAGATAACGGTTTGTTATGAGAAACAAAAATTAGACCATTTTCAACTCTTGAAGTTTGTTTATATCTGCAACAGAGTAATTACTACTACTACTACTACTACTACTGTTATTATTATTATTATTATTATTATTATTATTATTATTATTATTATTATTATTATTATTATTATTATTATTATTATTGAGGAGAAAGAGAATAAAAATGGCACGTAGAAGAAAGTAAAAGTAGATTAATGGAAATAGACCATGAAATCTTTAGGGTTATAAATATCATCTGACGGTTTGAATAAGATTTTCAGAAAATCTATTTACGTCATCTGTGTAATCAAGTTTCAGTTTAATGTTGTTTGCTTGGCAAGAAACCTGGCAATTTCCCAGTACATATAATTGGTCGATTTAAATTGTTCGTTGGGTATGGGCTGGATAGTCTTCCAAGTTAAACATGTTGATTCGACGAAACGCTGTTAAACAACACTTCCCTATCTGACGACCTATATATAGCATGAGACGTTATATAAAACAAATCTCGTCAATGATGCCCCATAGCTAGGTAGAACATAGAATTGGGAATATACACTGGGGGCTGTTTCTTTCCTGCTGAATGCGCGCTATCTTGGTCGCCACAGTCAGTCAGTTGTTGATCACCTGTATCGTGCACGGCAAGGTGAGATATATTTAAGGTTTAGAAAAGGAAAATAAATAAATATACATAATTGAACAATCGAATTATACTTCACTAATTTCTTGAAATTGAAATTTTAAGAACATATGTGGGATGCTTTAGCAGTAGTGATGGTGCTACATAATATTGCCTATTTATAACTATTAGTTTTCAGGGTGGAGCTTTAAAGAATTCCTTAATGTAATAATTTCGAACGGAAAATAGAAAAATATTGACCACCAGCACATTGAAATTATTTTTAATAGAGTAAGAAATTAGGTATTCTGCAGAAATAAGTTTCCTAATAAATCCCATAAAAATAAATAAAACGCAGATAAAATTTTTCATTGCTGTTACTTCAAACTGTAATCAACAATATGTTAGTACACAATCATTTCGTGCATTAAGATCTAATAAACAGCCTTTCTAATGCATAAGCTCTAGTGAATAGTGCAGCATGTATATTCCGTATTCAGACTTCTAGGTCAATATTTTCTACCGTTTCTAAAAAAAATATAGTCTTAAAGAAAACATATTTTATTATATGTATTTGTTTATAATGTATATATGAAAAGCTCTTGTATCATTGAGAGCATAGCATGCAAAGTGTTTAGCCGGACATTTGCACAGTTCTAGCTATATAAAACCAGTTAATAAAGAAACAATGAAAGCAACTACTGGATATGTATTATTTATATAACTACTGACTGAACCCTGTACATGTATGTATAAACCACCAGGTAGAGAGGTATTAGGTGTCTATTTACTCGTAGTCTACGCCACTGGAGACAATTATCAGGCGTTCATTGCTTATGAATTAGTTTACAAATGTAACCAGTGTAACGATCGCCGATATATACCTGGACTGGTCAGTTTTATCGATCAAGTTTTTAAAAGAAACTTTACCTGGCTTATTCAAACAGCTTGAAAAGATTATGTCGGAACACAAAGGCGAGAGGATTTTATTCGTGGTTAAGCAAGGTTTATGCATATCCATTTGTCACCCGCAGAGACAGTCGCGGCTAATAAAGGAGAGTAGCATAGATTTTGCCTTCCGATTCGTGCTACTAAGAATTCGTTATTGTATCATATTTGGGTTTTTTTATGAAGCTATGAATTAAAATTTTATGTCAATATTGTATGTCCAATATTATTCACATCAGTTTATGACATCATGTATTTAATTTAAAATACCATTATTCTTATTAAAATAATATTTATTATCCAGTCTGATATTGTATTCAAATGAACATCATAACATCAGATTTTATGCTATGGCCAATCCGAATGCATAATACAAATTTATTTCACGAATCCCAATAATGCGATGTAAGAACAATATGTACGCAGATTCAAAATTTATTATATCTAGCCATGGCTGGATTTTACAGCTTTATTGTAAACATTTATAACCTACATATTGTATTTATAGATATTTTGCTTCCATGTTTCAATAAAAATTAACATTAGTTTGTCAATAGTTATGCGGATGATAGGGTTACATATCCTTACAAAAGGGCCCCGAGTGGCCGAGGGGTCTAAAATACTGATACGTAACGGATCATTGCTCTATCTCCTCTGACTGCGTGGGTTCGAGTCTCGAGCCAATCTGAGTATGTGAGAAAGTTTGTCAATAGCTTCTAGTGAGTCAGTGGTTCTTTCAGGTGTTTTCTCGGATTCTTCCTCCACCATTTATATTGACCGCCATATATAGCCTATCTTGTGCTGAAAAATGGTGTTGAACCCTATAACAGCAACAACATTCTTAAATGAAATCTCCGCACAGGCAGCCTCAACTGATAAGAAGGTTAGCGGATTGGCTCCCGTGCATGCAATAAGTTTGATGGTTTGACAAAAGTGTGTATGCTCACAGCAGTAGGGACCTTTCTAAGATCCTCTCAAAATTTGTTTGACCAGATAAAGTTATCATTACGGTTTGGCAATTCCACAATTGCATGCTTTCTCGAGTCATGGACAGCAAAGGGTCATCTGAACCATTCCCAGTCACAAATGAATTCAAGCAAAGCTGTGTGTTGGCCCTAGCCCTCGACGCATGGTGTTCTGTACCTGTTTATTGGTGTTTGCTATGAATGTAACCAACTGATCAGCTTCAGATACCAGACTGACAATAAGCTCTTTAAATCTGCAGATACTATAGATCAAGACGAAAATACAGTAAGTGAGAAATCGTGATTTCCTATTTTTGGCGCGTAATCCCAAATGCCGGATCTTGAGTCTTACGAGCAACAGACAATCAACCATTTATATTCAGCTTGTTACAATTTCGGCCTCACAAACAATATCAAGAAGACAATGTGGAGAGCCAATATGTAGCAGGAAAGCATTATGCAGAGACAACTATAAAAATAAACGAAACCTTCCATGCAATAGAAATGTTTACTTATTTCGGCAGAACACTGTCACTTGTAGTCTATATCGATGATAAAGCCT